GAGGAGCAATACTAGACTCTTCAATGGTTGGTATAGGTAAGACTTCTGTGGCTAAAGGTGGAGGAAGAGCTATAGTAAACTCCTCAAAGGTCGGTATAGGTAAAACCTCAAATATATCAAAGTGGTCAGAAGCGGTAAAGAAAGGTTTAGACGCAAAAAAAGTGATGCCAGTTGACATAAGTTACCTACGAAGATCAGGTGAGTAATAACGATATCCCTTCTAAACACGAGAATAACCAAGGAAGACACTTGAGACCACGTGGAGCTAACTTATCTTTCTCAGGGCTAAGTTATGAACGAAACATGTGCTCCCAAGAACACGAGGGGGAAGAGAGTATAAGGGTGACTGCGGAACAATACTGAATACAAAATCAGATTCTGGATGAGAGATGAAAGTATCTGATTTATCAAATAACAGGATGTGTGAACTGCATCCCCCAAAAACACAACGGAGCACGAGATTCAATGAGAAGTGTGCGAGCAATCTCAATGAAGTGCCTATTCTTTCTCTTTGCAACCCTATTTTGCTGAGGAGTAATCTGATGAATAATTCCTTGAGAAGTCATAAACTGCTGAAACTGAGAGGATAAATATTCGAAGGCATTATCACTACGAAAAGTGCGTATAGAAACACCAAATTGATTTTTGATTTCAGCACAAAAATTCTGGAATATAGAAAACAACTCAGAGCAATCTTTCAATAAGAAATGCCAAGTACATATTGAATAATCATTGACGAAACTAACAAATAACGAACTCCCAATGTTGACCTGACTCTACTAGGACAACCCTCCCCCCCACCCCATATATCAGAATGAACAAAAGAGAACAGACTCTGCATGACTCTCAACACTATGCGAAAAGGAGGCTCAGGTATGTTTCCCAAGCAGACACGACTCACAATCTAATGTACACAAATTAGACAAACTAGACACCATCTTATGAAGCTTGGATGAACTCGGATGTCCTAACCATATGTGAATTAGGTCTGGAGGATCTGTATCTAGACATGTTGTGGAGCGATTTAGTGAGTCAAAGGTAGTAAAGGCCTTCTAATTCCCGCCCTGTGCCAATTGTCTGCCCCGTACTGCGGTCCTGCATAATAAAAGAATAATCAATAAAATATATACCACAATGGAGGGCACGAATCAAACGACTAACAGATGGAAGACTAAAAGGACAGCCAGAGACATAAAGAACGAAATCTAGAGTGACAAAAGATAAGGGATTAGCTTGTCCAACTCCTTCTGCTTTAGTTTGAAACACATTGGCTAAAGTAATAGTGGGAAGAAACTGTGAATACACAATATTTGACAATAATGATTTATTACCAGAGATTTGATTAGAAGCACCTGAGTCCATGACCCATGGTCCAAGGGTTCTAGACTGAGAAACACAAGCAGAAGAATTACCAGCAACATAAGTATCAGTCTAAGCAACCGAGGCTACTTGTGGAGATGTCTGCTTACTTGCTCGATACCGAAGGAACTCATTATATTCCCCTTCAGATAAAGAAAATCCTTGGTTACTTGTAGTCTAGTCTCAGTCTGAGCAACATAAGCATTTTTAGGTGGTCGACCATGTAAGGAATTGCACACTTCACGAGTGTGTCCAAGTTTATGACAATAAGAGCACTTGGGTGTAGATCTTCCAAAACGACCTCCTCCTCGTCTATTCTCTGTAGTTTGAGCTGCCCGATTTTCCACTATCTGGGATGCGAGAACAGAGGAGTCAAGTGTCCGTGATGATATTATTGGGTGACTTGGTGCTGCAGCAAGGCGAAGTAATCGAGAGAATAATTCATCAACTGTAGGGACAGTCTGACTAGCCATAATATGGTCACGGACTGAATCAAGGTCATTAGGAAGTCCAGCGAGTGTAAGAACTAGAAACATCTTTTGTCGTTGCTCTTGTTGCTTTTCAACACTAGCAGAAATTGGCATCAACTTCTCAAATTCCTCCCTGACTGCCTGTACTTGTCCAAGTAAAATATGGTCACGGACTGAATCAAGGTCATTAGGAAGTCCAGCGAGTGTAAGCACTAGAAACATCTTTTGTCGTTGCTCTTGTTGCTTTTCAACACTAGCAGAAATTGGCATCAACTTCTCAAATTCCTCCCTGACTGCCTGTACTTGTCCAAGTAAGTCGACATATCCAATTCCTGTTTCTTCAAATTTGTCATCCGCGATATCACATCATAGAAATGAGATATGTCATTAATGTATAAAGTACAAGCCTTTTCCCAAACTAAATGACATGCCTGGAATGGACGAAACAAAGGCATCAATTGGAATTAATAGATCGCCACAAATACTACATAACAGAGTATCGATCTTTTTCCATTGTGCTTTTGCCTTTTCATCTCTCTCACAAGCCTTTTTGGTTAAGTGATCTTGAACACCTTGACCTTTACACCAATTCTCCAAAGACGAAGCCCAAGATAAATAATTTGAACTTCCAAGTAGGGGTTCAGAAGTACTCATAAAGGCTGAATTTTCAACTCCACTGTTCTTGGAGCCAAAAGCATCAAGTCCGAGAGACATGAACAACAACAAACCTAGTGTAATACCATATATGAGGTCTAGGGAGGATAATGTGTACGCAACCTTACTCCTATCCTATAAAGGCAGAGAGATTGTTTCCGATAGACCCTCGGCTAAAGAAACGATAAGAATAAAGCAACAAGCAAGTCCGAGAGAGATGATTGGATCAAATAATTACGAAGTCAGGTCACAGAAACAGTGAACAAGCAGCAGAAAAAATACACTGTAGCCGCTAGAAACTGAAACATTTGCTGGAAAATAAAAAAGGTTGTCGGAATGTGATGAAACTTGAATGGGTAGAGTTGGAATTAGTAGGCAAGCAAATTGTCCTCAAGGAACTTCTCCAAAAATGGCCGGAAAAGGTCGTACTTGCCGGAGCGCGTGCAGGAACCCTAGCTTCTGACGGCGCTTGAGGCTGCTTTTGCCGGAGAGGTTGTGTGGGGTTTGGTCGCCGGTCGATGACGGATCTTGTGGTAGTGTTGGATTTTGCACAACACTGACGGAGAGAGATGACGCAAGACAGTCGTGAAAAGTCACCGAAAAAGTTGGATAGCATCACGAGGAATTTTTTATGGAATGGGAACAAAGAAAGGAACGGCTACCACTTGGTGAAATGGAAAGCACTCACTTTTGGCAAGAACCTTGGAGGGCTAGGGATCAAGAACTTGAAGATTCAGAGTAAAACTCTTAGAATGAAATGGTTGTGGAGGCTCAAAAAGGAGAATCAACTCCTTTGGGGAAACATTATTAAAGCAAAATATGGACAGGAAGACAAATGGATGACTAAGGAAGTCACTGCACCATATGGGGTTAGTCTATAGAGATCCATTAGATCGCTGTGGAGTGAGTTGAGGGATGATTCCAAGATCAAAGTATTTGATGGGAATAAGACTAGCTTTTGGAAGGACAATTGGCATGAAGTTGGCAGATTGGATGTAGCTTTTCCAAAAGTCTTCAATTTAGCTCTACATCAGCAAAGGACTATAGCAGAGATGTGGACACCTCAAGGATGGAACATCATTTTTAGAAGACATATCAACGATTGGGAAGCACAAAGAGTGGTTGAATTCTTCTGTGCACTAGAGCAGTTTAGTGGATTACAAGCAGGTGCAGATGTACTATGGTGGCAAGGCGGCATTAAGGGTTTATTCAAAGTTAATGCAACTTGCAAGAGGATGAACTACTCCAACCAGCAGATAGCCAATTGGCCTTGGAAACACATCTGGAAAGCAAAAATTCCTCACAAAGTTGCTTGCTTTGTGTGGCTACTGGCTAATGAAGCAGTCCTTACACAAGATAATTTGATGAAAAGAGGTTTCATTTTATGTTTTAGATGCTTTTTGTGTGGGGAAAAATAGCAGAGACAGTTAACCATCTCTTCCTTCACTGTAAGATAACATCTCATCTATGGAGAATTATTCTTAACCTCAAAGGCATTTCCTGGACCATGCCTGGGAAGGTTATAGATTCTCTTAAAAGTTGGGAGGAAACAGGACTACAGGCAAAGGACAGGACCAGATGGAGAATTATACCTGCTTGCATTTGGTGGACAATTTGAAAAGAGAGAAACTCCACATGTTTTGAGATTGTGGAGAATGGAGTGCAGGAGATCAAGTTAAACTTTATTTTGCTGTTGTGTTTTTGGTGTAATCAGGTCTACACAAATGATACTGACACTATTATTGATGTTTTGGATTCAATATAGAGAGTGTCAGTGATAGTTAGAGTCTCTTGTATATATGGTTTCAGTACTACCTAAGTACTGTTTTGCTACATATGAAATATAGAAAAGTTACCAGTTTCAAAAAAAAATTGAGACACAATGACTTTCTGCTGTATTCTGGTTCCCGGATGTGTCTCACCACCACGGCTTTGATACCATGTGAGAAATAATACACGGGAAAATATTATGTTATTGATGTACCCTAACTATAATACAATTATCCCTATTTATAACAATACACAATATCTACGCTACTCCTATTCCATGTAGGACTATGCTTATTTACATAGAACTAAAGCTTTGAAATTTTGAATTTTGTTTTTCTTTTCTTGAAGGTTTTGTGTAAAAGATCTCAATCCAAGGAAAGGGTAGATGTATTTTCCATTTTTTCTATCCTCACAAGTATTGACCTTCAACAATTACAAAGGAAAAGTTAAATCTTATACATAAGTATTTGAGTATGAAAAATATCTTAGACTTGCAGACATTAGTACGAGAAATTTAACGCAATGTTTTATTCCACTAGATTACAATAGATAATGGAATGTCTTCTGTGCTTTAGCTTGTAGAGCTATTGTAAGTTAGACACCGCACAAACTTTTTCTTAATTACTTGTACATTTTGGCTTAAGAATTTACAAGTTACTTTGGACTTGTCGATTTATATTTGAAGCTCTGCAGAATAAATTGTCTGCTTGAGTAACATCTCAATGACACATATACTACCTAATTCAGCATTCAAGGAGATATTCCGAATCTAGCTCTTCAAGTTCATCATCTGAATCTTCAAGTTCTGACGATGATGATAGAGAATCCAGAAAATCAAGATCGAAGTCCAAGAGAAGGAAGAAAGAAAAGAAGCACCAGTCGAAGTCAAAGCAATCGACCAGTGATGATGAAGAAGCTGATGGTCCTTTGCCACTGTCTAGGTTCTTTGGCAGCATGAAGAGCTAATTTCTCAGTTGACATGTACTTGTACTCTTTTTTGGGTCGACATTGGATAAGATAGATCCTTTTTATTGATTATTATTATTATTGTTATTATTGTGTAATCAAGGATCATTGGTTCTTCAAGTAGAGTTTTGTATCCTGGTTTTAAATGAAATTCTATGTCTGTATCGAAAACAATTGTAGAAATACTTTCACATTCCAAGCCTGCATTTAGCATTTTACTAATTCCATTATATCGATGCATTTTGATGTTAATGGTGTTAGCAAGAATCTTTTCTAGTCTGGAAGTATCTTGTTTCCCTGAAGTGGAAATGGCGGAATGTGAAGTACTTTTTGCATGAATATGAAACTGGGCATAACAGTGATGTACAGAAGATGGAATTTTGTTTCCCATCAAATGGTAGGGTAAGATTCTCTTTATCCAGATTTACAAGAGTATTTGGTATTCTTCGATTGAAGGGATTAGATTAAGTCAGGTAGGGGGTGTGTATGTCTGTCTATATATATATATATATATATATATATATATATATAGAGGCGGACCCAGGATTTGAGCACAGGGGGGGAGGGGGCACCGCCATTGGCATGAATATGTCAACTAATAATGGCAAAATTTGACGTGCTAACTCCTTGAAAACTTGGTGACTTAAAGTCAGTGACCGAAAGGATGTTCAAAAATATCAAGATTAAAGGTCTGTTAAGCAGTTCAAGTAGAGTCTCAGTCACTGTCATTGAATCGACACATTTCTGGTACTTTGCCGAAGTGATTCTTGAAGGCGGAATGATTTTTAGAGTTTTTATTACCGTTTTGGGATTTTTTTTATTGAATTACTTATTTTTATACATGTCAAGAAAATGATAATGCTTATAAATTTAATTATTGGGATAAAGAATGTGATTGGCTTCATGCTAATGAAATAGCTTATTCCCCTTCCAATTTCTTTTGATATATCCTATATTAACTTAGAAAAGATAAAGAAAAAAAATCAAGTTAAGCACTAAATACAGGATACTATTCTATCAAAAGCCTGCATTTAGCATTTTACTAATTCCATTATATCGATGCGTTTTGATGTTAATGGTGTTAGCAAGAATCTTTTCTAGTCTGGAAGTATCTTGTTTCCCTGAAGTGGAAATGGCGGAATGTGAAGTACTTTTTGCATGAATATGAAACTGGGCATAACAGTGATGTACAAAAGATGGAATTTTGTTTCCCATCAAATGGTAGGGTAAGATTCTCTTTATCCAGATTTACAAGAGTATTTGGTATTCTTGGATTGAAGGGATTAGATTAAGTCAGGTAGGGGGTGTGTATGTCTCTCTCTCTATATATATATAGAGGCGGACCCAGGATTTGAGCACAGGGGGAGGGGGCACCGCCATTGGCATGGATATGTCAACTAATAATGGCAAAATCTGACGTGCTAACTCCTTGAAAACTTGGTGACTTTGAGTCAGTGACCGAAAGGATGTTCAAAAATATCAAGATTAAAGGTCTGTTAAGCAGTTCAAGTAGAGTCTCAGTCACTGTCATTGAATCGACACATTTCTGATACTTTGCCGAAGTGATTCTTGAAGGCGGAATGATTTTTAGAGTTTTTATTACCGTTTTGGGATTTTTTTTTATTGAATTACTTATTTTTATACATGTCAAGAAAATGATAATGCTTATAAATTTAATTATTGGGATAAAGAATGTAATTGGCTTCATGCTAATGAAATAGCTTATTCCCCTTCCAATTTCTTTTGATATATCCTATATTAGCATTGATTCTTCCATCTTTGTGAATATTTTATTTTTAATTCAACGTAAACTTTTTAGCTTTTACTGATAGAAGTTATATCTGGGTTTTGTTTATTATGTATAGATCTAGTCGATTTCAACTTTTTTTGGTTAGCTCTGGTGTTTAATTTTTGGTTTAATGTGCTACTGCTACCGATGCATTAATCCTTTTGTATCAACTTGCTTTATTGGCTTTTAAGATCCCACCGTTTCCTTCTTCTTCTTCTTCTTCAAAGAAACACACACGGTAGAAATCAAAAATTCAAAACTCTTCAGAAATTGGGAGCTTGTTTCTGGTTTTCAAGTGTTTCCTGGGAGCTAGAAATCGGAACAGATTTTTGGGGCTTGTGATTGTTGGTTTGCCTCTGAGTTTTCACCTTCTGATTGCAGATTTTACTTTGATTTATCTAGCTGATTTTTCCTCCCATTTAGTGGTGCATCTGTTTCAATTGAAAAAGAGCAATCGTTTTGCTCTGCTTCTTTGCTTACCAGTGGTAGCGGCGATAGCTCCTTCTGGTTTTTGGGTCGTGGTATTTTCTGTGTTTTCAGGAATTCTCGGAGTATTGGAGACAAGTTGGGCGCACGAGCACTGGCAAAGGAGAGCAACCTGGGCGAGTGTCAGCAAGGGTGGTAGGAAGTGGGCGGGAGCATACAACTACATCGAGCACAGCAAATCAGCCACAGGTTTTGTTATCGGGAGTTGGTACCTCCTGTTTTACTGTTTCCCTTTTGGTGTTAGCTAAATTACTGTTACTTTACTTCGCAATAGTTAAACCTTTAAACTAGGATACTAGTTACCACGTGTTTCCTTCTAGTTTGATTTGTGTACGTTGTGCACTAGCGAGTCTTCTCTAGATTGTTGTAGGTGTAGTGGCT